CCCCAAAACCCCAAAACCCCAAAACCCCAAAACCCCAAAACCCCTTCTGACCACATCCCGGCTGAAAAAACTATAAAACAAAGATCACATTTCAATCATAATAATTAAAAATGGATTTCGCAAGCAGCAATATTTTTATTAGAAAGGCAAAGAAAGAGGTAGATGATGCCGAACTTGAAGATTATTGTGACAAACTCTCTGTATGCTCTGATGAGCTTAATAGAAGGTAAGTAATTAGTGGTTAAGCATGTAGCTTCGACTCTGATGAAGATGAAGAGGAGGTAAAAGATCAAAAGGATCTCAATGATGGACTTCAAATGATTGACCAAAGATCTTCAAAGCTCTCCAACGAAGCTCATACTTTTGGAGCTGGCTCCTGGAATGCTATGGATGCTAACATAGATACAGCTGTTCCTAAAATGGCTGCTCGCAATATGGCAGCTCCGAAGAAAAAGTCTGGAGGCTTTTTCAAAGGCCTCATGGGCATTTTCAGCAAAAAGAAAAATGAAGCTGAGCTTGATATAGAATGCTGAATGGACGCAGGATCACCAATGATGAATTCTAAGCCGAAGAGGGCAGCCAAAGTAGCTAAGAGCAGAGTCAATAGGCAAGGAAGGAAGTTCCAGAATGAGGTAGACACCAATGTAATCTCCCTTAGTCTCAAAGTTCTCAAGGAAGATGCTGAATTAGCTGCTGGAGACCCTATATTCTGTGAGAAATGCAATGCTGTCTTTAACGTCAATAGTAAACTCGACGAAAAAGAGAAAAAACTAGAACAAATTCTTGAAGTTGACGAGGAAGATAAAGAAGAAGATATGGTTCCTAACGAAAGGGAGGAAGTCAAAATTGAGCTAGGTGAAGGAGAAGAGCTTTGGAATTGCGAATTCTGTAACCATAAAAACATCATATTTATCGAAAAAGAAGAAATCCCAAAGAAAGATGCTATCAATTATATCATTGATAATGAAGAACTTGATGAGAATAAGAAGCATTCAGGTGAAGCTTCTGTTATCTTCTGCATTGATATCTCTGGATCTATGTGTGTCACCAAAGCTGTTGATGGCAAGTTCAAAATCAAGGGAGATAAATATGATGAACTTCAAGAACTCATGAAGTACTCAGATGGTTCAGACCAATTCGCCTTCAATGACAGAAATATGACCTATGTTTCAAGACTTCAATGTGTCCAAGCAGCCATCGAAGCTCAGCTGATTGACATGAAGGTTGAGAAATCGCAGAAGAAAGTTGGTCTGGTCTCGTTCAATGGAGAAGTAAACATTGTTGGAGATGGATCTCAGCCATCACAAACTATTTCTGGGGATAAACTGACAAATTATGAATATCTTATTGAGAATGGACAAAATGTTGCAAAGACTCATATGTCTCAAGGAATAGAAGAATCAAGCGACCAGCTCAATGAAAAGCTATTCGCTCTTGAAGAAACTGGTCCTACTGCTCTTGGACCTGCTGTTGCCTCTTCCATCGCCATGGCTGGTGAATGTGGTAATGGCTCCCAAGTCTTCATTTGTACTGACGGTTTGGCAAATGTAGGAGTTGGGTGTCTCGAAGAACAAAAGGACAACACCAATGCTGAACAAGACGTTGCTACTTTCTACGAACAACTTGCTGACTATGCTGCAAGCAAGGGGGTTACAGTCAACATCATCAGTATCAAAGGAGAGGAGTGTGACCTTGAGACTCTCCGTCCACTCTACGACAAAACCAATGGTAATGTAGACATCATCGAGCCAGATGAGCTCAAGAATAACTTTGCTAACATGATGAAGCAAGAAGTCATTGCTACTAGAGTTGTTGTGAAGGTCAAGCTCCACAAAGCTCTGGAGTTCAGAAATGAAGACGAGAAGGACCTCTCTAATGAGAAGACTATCTTGACGAGAGACGTTGGAAATGTTACTGAGGACTCTGAGATCACATTTGAATATAGAGTCAAAGATCAAAAGGATCTAGAGAAGCTAGATAACTTTGATATCTCAAAGATTGATCAGATTCCGTTCCAGACTATTATTGAATATACCAAATTAGATGGAATGAAATGTATTAGGACTATTACTAAGGTTCAGAAGGTCACAGACGATGCTGCTCAGATGAAGAAGGACGTTAATATTGAGGTCCTAGCTGTAAATGCAGCCCAACAAGCTTCTAAATTAGCAACTAGAGGACAGTTTAGAGAAGCCCAAGCTTATAGTATGAACCAAAAGAGGTACCTCAAGAGCCATCTCAAGGACGATACTGATAAGAAGATGTACAGCAACTGGAGAGGTCAAATGAACGGTCTCTACTCTGACATGCATATGCAGAACAACTGTGAAGAGATGTGTGAGATGCAAGCTGAGTCTGAAGGCTCTAGTGCCATGCATGAATTAAAGAGAAAGAAAGGTTTCTTCTCTAAGTTAGGAGACCAGATGACGACTAATGTCCAGAAAAAGAAGAAGTTTACCAAGAAATCTCTCTGGTAAATCTTTTCTGTAGGATAATTTTTAATTCGTAATCAGACTTTCATCAATATTCTACCAACTTTTCGGGGTTTTGGGGTTTTGGGGTTTTGGGGTTTTGGGG